TAGGTCTGCTAATTCTTTGGCTGATGCTTTAGCCAAACAGGGGGTTTCTAGGGAAGATCTTTTTTGTGCTTCTATGTAAGTTGTTATTAATTTGGAAATCTGTACTTAACTAGCCCGGAGAGGTTGCAACTCGTGCCTTTCCTTGGGGACATTGTACTATTGTCTATTGCTGTTTAATAAAATTATTTCAATTATAAAAAAAACAGCTATATGTGAAAGAAAATAATATAAAGGTCCTGAATGATAAATACCATATGTTTGAGTTAGGTGGTGCTCCTTAATCAAAGGAAAAGTGTCCCATACTGGATCTTATTGGTCATTCTTTTTATCAATGCTTGCAACCTGTTGTTTTCAAGTGTAGTATTGGCCCACACGATATTAATTAATTTTTCAAGCGAGGGAAACCCATCACAGTAGCTTGCTACTGGGGTCTTTGTGCATCGCCCATGTGTTGCACTACTGCATGGGCCTGGCACACCCCATTAGCTTTCTCAAAAAAAAAAAAAAAGTTTGCAACCTGTTGTTGACCCAGACGGTCAGGCTGGTCAAACTGTCACTAGGAGACAATGATGGGTCTGTTTTACCCCAAACTCGGTTGGTTTTAAAAACAACTGATAAAAAATTGTTGACCTGGATGGTTAACAATTGAAAATTCAAATTTAAATTGTATTAGATCATCTGATGGTCTGGCCTGTTCAACTCAACCTGGACAGTCGAACTGGTGACCCATCACCTGGAGGAAAACTGGTTCGGGTCAGTCACCGGTTCAGTTTTTAAAACACTGTTTTTTTTTGGTGATTCAAAAGAAGGGAAAAAACACTGCTTCTTGTATATTCTTTCTCTTTCTCTTTTTTATTATTATAGATTGTGTTGTTCAGATAATATCTTTACTAGAGTTGATAGGTCACAAACACATGCATTACTGGGGAACAGTGAATCTTATGAGTCAAGGTGTGCAATTGGGTCTCGGAGTATTCTATTTTTTATGACAAAATCTGGTGGTGATTAATGCAAATTAGGCTGTAATTTGCAAACTTCACATCTCTTTTCACAGATGACCAATAGAATTGCAGATGAATGAATTTCACCAGTAATGCTTAATCTTGATAGATGACAGAAAAATGATTAAAGAACAGGGAGAAAAAATCATATAGATTTTTCAAAAGCACAACTTTTAGCAATTCTTTAATGCCTTAATGCAGCAGTGCTTGTGATCTTATATTTAATAGAATCGTTGAGTTCTGTATTTGTTAGTACTGGGGTTTATTATTGAGTTCTGTAATGCCTTAATTGAGGATAAAACTTGCCTGACTTGTACGAGGTTGAAAAGGCTGAAGGTTATGCTTTTTCCTTCTCCAACTGTTCATTTTTTTTTAATATTGTGTGTGCTTTTGCAGGTTCTTCATAATATTGCGGTTGCAGAATACTTTCGTGATGGTTGTTCAGATCCAAGGAAACTACTTGAAGTGCTCAATAAGGTTAAGGTATGTGAATTCAATGAAAGCAGTGGTTCACATGGTGTTTCTGGATGATGCTTAGTTCTTTCCTTTTTTCTCTGCTTGGTGAAATTATGCAACATTGTGCATGGATAATTTCTTCTTAGGAATGTCATACAGTTTTATTATCTTGCAACATGACAAGAGCAATCTTTTTTCTCTATATCAAATGTAATGTGCTGTGTAATTAATGCTTCATTAACCAGTTTCAGATCCCATGGATGGTATAATATGTTTTTTTTTTTCCAGTTAATAAGCGTTAGTTATACGTGTCTACATGAATCATTTTTTTTTGGTACCATGAATGCTATATTCTTGGCTCCTAAAGTAGGGCTGCAAGTTGGGTTTCCCAATTTGAAGAATTTCAATTACATCAGGCTTGACCAACCTGATCCAAATTGTACTCCTATCCTGAAGTGAACAATGTGGTTATCTGAATAATTATTATTGAGTAAGATTTTTCTTCTGATTGTAGTTATTTCTTTGAGATGCATTTAAGAGAAACTAGTTTTCATGACATTATCTTTTACATTAGGTCTGTTGTTTCTATTCCTTATTGCTTGTTCTAACTATTTCACATCACATCAACTTTTGTAACTTTGCCTGATTAATCTAACAAATATGGTTGACCATAGAGTATTGTTGTGTTGGGCAGTATTTTAGAATCCAGCCCGGAGGTCGAACTGTTTACCCTCCGGGTCAACGGGGCAGCAGTTCAACCATCTGGGTCAATGGGTCAGTCCATGACACCATCACTGTAAAAGGAAAAAAAAAGGAAAAATCCCAATAACCCTTTTAATGGGCCAGATAGGTCAACAGTTCAATTGTCCGACATGACATGTCATTGACTGAAGTCAATGGGCTTTTGTTACATAGCAGTCTAGAGGTTGACCTAAACAGGGACTGTGACCAGGTCACTGATGGGTTGAAAACACTGGTATCGGCAATACATGTGGATTATAAGAATTTATTAGTGTAAGAAAAGTCAACTATGCTTTAGATATTTGATATTTAAGCAAACACATGTATATGTGCATTATCATATAATTCTGCATGCATAACAGCATGGCATTGAAGCCTGCCACCTAATATCATGCTAAGCTTTATAAATTAATATGATACACTTGAGGGAGAGGGTTATAGATGTACATTTTTTTTACTGCCCTTACCTTCTGCTACATTTCTGTGATGATGGTGCAGAGGAGAAGTGAAGAGCTTGCCCGTGCATCTGGCGAACAGGTAGAGGCTGTTGGAAATCTTGGAACTAATGTTGTTCCAGGATCCAAAGGAAGTAGTACTACGCCACATCAGTTTTCTTCTACAAATAGTGCCAGTATTGCCTATACAGATGAATTTGACACTTCTGTTGCAACATTAAACACTGTATGTTCTGTTGATATATGCATGTTTTTATCATTTTGTAGATAGTTTATATTATATTTGTCTTAAAGGATATCTTCAAATGTTTTGTTGCTTCCTGGTTTGGTAATACATCCTCAATTGGTGAATTCAGGCAGTTATCTTGTTCCATCTTCATGAATATGCAAATGCATTGCAAGTTCTGGAAGCATTATACCAAAATATAGAACCTATAGATGAGGTATCATAATTTTTTTCACAAATGTGTTTGATTTGATAGTTGTCCTGCTTTCGTAATCATTTTCCTATGTGCAGACAACAGCTCTTCACATATGCCTTTTATTGCTGGATGTTGCACTGGCTTCCAATGATGCATCAAGAGCTGCAGTAAGTTCAAATATGAATAACACGATTATTTCTACAGTAATCATTAATATGCTAGTAAGGGTATGCTGTAGAAGATTCTTGAGGTTGCCAAATTTATTTCAGGATGGATGGTTTTTAAATATGTTATAGCAACCTGGAGACATGTCAGGTTCAGTAATTTATAGTGGCAAGATGAGATGTTGAATTGTTGATATTAATTATTGAAAGTTGAGGCTAAGCTTCCAAACATTATTTCAACTCAACATTTACTCAATGCTTTGGGTACATCATGGTTACCATATATTTTGGACCTTTATCCTAGCTTATACATGCTTCATATTGCTAGTTGGCTATTGCGTTTTATTCTATACTAGACAAAGGTGCATGCCACTTGCCATTTATTTTGCTCCTCTGGATCTTTATAAAAACTATTTTTATTTGTCCCTTATATTTTTTTCCTTATTCCTATCCTTTATAGCATGGTTTCTAAAACATGTAATTGCTACATTATAACAAATCATACCATGGAAAAATAATAAGTTTTAGAATCTTATTAAAATTTTCACAAAAAAACTTTATTAAATTTGATGATGTACAAGCATAGAAAAGTGATATTTACCGTAAAAATCTAATATAAATGCGATGGTGCTACCATAATGAATGAGGGTATTAGTATCTGTGTCTTGGGTCTGAAGAAAAAGAGAGTAACATCCCTAGTTCCCGTATTAATGTCCACTTCTGTATCTGTATCTAAACACCTTAATTTTGAGGTATTGGTTCTCTTTCAAGTTTCAAGGCTCAAAGACTTCCTTTGCCTACCTCCCAGGAATGAGCATGCATGCAGATGTGATTTGGTTTCTCTTGCAGGTTGAATGCATTCATTCCTTTCTTAGGGCTAGCACCATGTCAAACCATAAGTCAAACCATACAAACTTGTCCTAACTCAACTCAACAAAACCTTATCCCTTAGATGAGCTCATTATATTTGGCATGGTGAATAGCGTCTGTCATAAAATGTCTATCATAATCAAAACACTAGAATCAAAGTCAAAATTGATCCATAACTTTGAAATCTAGGTGCACCAGCAGCCAAACCAGAAGAAGACACACAACAACCATGATCCATGATCCTTATGTCTTGAGACTGTCCATACTTCTCATTCTCATCCTTCAATTGCCTCAATGTGCTTGAACTCAACTTTTATTGCTTTGGTCCCAAAGAAAGTGGGAGCAAGTCATCCAAGAGAATTTAGACCCATCAGTTTGGTTAATAGCTTGTATAAAATCATTGTGAAGGTTCTGTCTAGAAGAATTAGAGTGGTGCTTTCAAAGCTAATCTCACAGAATCAAGGGGTTTTTGTTGGAAATAGGCAGGTTGTGGATCAAATTCTAATTCCCAATGAGTGTGTGGAGGATATGCGGAGAACAAGGAGGAAAGGGATTGCGTGCAAGTTGGGTTTAGAGAAGGCTTACGATATGGTTGATTGGTCTTTTTTGATGCAAGTGTTGAATTGCTTTGGTTTTGGGGAGAAATGGTGTAAATGGATCCTGAGTTGTATAGAGACTTGTCATTACTCCACCCTGATAAATGGAAAGGTATCACTTCTCGGATATTAGGGGAATTAGACAAGGGGACCCCCTCTCTCCATTTCTTTTCACCTTGATCGTTGAAGTATTGGGGAGGCTAATTGAGAAAGCAGATTTGAGAAGTCTTGTGAGGGGATGGAGAGTTGGAAAAGACAACATTCCCAGCACCCATTTATAGTTTGCTGATGATACAATTTTGTTCTATGAGGGGGAAGATGTGAGATGGGCCAAAAACGAAGTTGGTGATTCAAGTGTTTGAACAAATGTCAAATATGAAGGTGAACTTTGATAAGAGCTGTGTGGTGAGGATCAATATGGAAGAGAGCTATATTGGAGAGGGTTGAAGCTTTTGGTTGTACTGTGTCTCAGTGGTTGTTGGACTATTTGGGGATGCCCTTGGGGGATAACCTGAGGAAAGAGAGCTTTTGGAGCCCCATAATTGATAGATTTGCTAAGAAGTTGGCCTCTTGGAAGACAAATTATTTATCTCTAGGTGGTAGAATTATTTTGATTAAGTCTACACTAGCTAGTTTGCTTGTGTATTATTTATAAGTTTTTAGGATCCTAGTGAAGATAAGTAGGAGTTTGGAGAAGTTGATAAAATATTTCTTGTGGGTATCGGGGGAGGAGAGAAAGGATCACAGGGTGAATTAGGAACTAGTCTCTAGGATTAGGGCTGATGGAGGGTTAGGTTTAGGTAACATTCAGAGGAAAAATGAAGCCTTGTTGGGCAAATGGCTGTGGAGGTTGGGAGGTGAGAGGGATAAACTCTGGACGAGGGTAATTTTAAGTATTCATGGTTAGGTAGATGATGGCTGGGACACTGGGACTTTGGCAAGGTCTTTTGGTGCCTCTCCTTGGAAACCTATACATTCCATTCTTTCTTTTTGCAGCACATCAAGTATGACCTTTGCTCTAGGAATCATGTAAACTTTTGGGAGCACATTTGGGTGGGTGAGATACCTTTAAAAGACCAATTCCCTTCCTTGTTTTCACTCTCCTGGTTTAAGGGTCGTCTAGTTTTCTAGTTCCTTCTCAGTCTAATTTTGGGTTTGATTGGGATCTGGGGCTTAGAAGAGGCTTAAGGGATGTAGAGGTTGAAAATGTCATGAGTCTGGTTCAGATCTTAGACCGGGTGGTGTTGGATCCCTCTTTGAGAGGGATAAGAGACTATGGACCCTAACTCCCTTTGGAACCTTCTTTTGTGCCTCCTTCAAGTCCCTATTGCTTTTATCTAGTCCATTTGCACAAAATTTTCCAATTAAGGATTTTGGGGTGAGCCGATTCCTCTACGGATTGGAGCCTTTTGTTGGGAAGCCTTCCTCAGAAGATGTAATCATGTAATACTTGTGAGTTGTGACATACTCCAAAGAAAAAGGCCTTTTTGTTGTTTGTCTCCGAATTGGTGCATTCTTTGCAAGGCTAATGGCGAAAGCTCCTACCACTTATTAGTTTCTTGCCCTTTTGCTACTGATCTTTGGGAATGGTTTTTTTCCTCTTTTGGTTGCAGGTGGACCCCACCGCCAAACATTCAAAGTTTGTTTAACCCCTTGTTCTTTGGTTGGCCAAACAAAAGGGGAAGGATAAATGTGGAGATGTGTGAGGGCTGCTGTTTGTTGGACTCTTTGGGAGGAAAGGAACACCAGAATTTTCTTTGAAGTTGAAAGAAGAATGCCTTATTGAAGTAGTAACCATGAGGGTGGTACATTGGCTGAAATCCTTGGACCTGTTTGTTGATATTTCTACGGATATGTTGCAGAATAGCTGGCTGGAGGTGGAAAATTCTGCTCCTGCCCGCTCTTTAGTTTGTCCTGTGTGGTCACCACCAAGAAGTGGACTTACAAAAGCTAAACTTTGATGGAAGTAGTGAGGGAAATTCAGGTCCATTAGGTGTAGGAGGGATTTTTAGAGATGAGGATGGGAAGGTGCTCGCTTTGTATTCAGCTCCCATTGGGGTTGGAGACTCTCTCAAAGCTGAGGTCTATGCAGTACTGGAGGGTATAAGGAAGTCTAAGGAACTGAATATACAAAAATTAGTCATTGAAGGGGACTCAAAGCTGGTCTTAAGTTGGTTACAAGAAGGTAGTGGACTTTGGAAATATGCTAATGAGAGGCGGGAGATTAATTGGTTAACTAGAGAACTGGAAATCAAGTTCCAGTGGGTCAGGAGAACAACAAATGCAGTTGCTGATGCTTTGGCAAAGCAGGGGGTGGGAAGGGATCAAATATTTTGGGCTGTTCTGTAACTTTTTCTTTTTTGCTATATTCCTGGAGAGAATTAAGCCTGTTTATCTCTCTTTTGAGCGCTGTAACTAAATTCTTTTGATCTAATGAATTCCAGTTATTGATTAAAAAAAAACTGCCTCAATGTGCTTAGCCACAATATTCAAAAACCACAGTTCCAACACCAACAATCAAAACAGGAAATCTAGTATTGGAGAAATTCATTTGTTTGAGTAATTTCTTTTCTGTTCCACTTCCTCATATCATGAAAAGTTAAAAAGCAACAACTATTTTTTTTATCATTTATTTAATTTGTTATAAGTAATACAACAGACAAGGCTAAGGCATCTGAAAAGACATGTTCTATAACCATGTTACAAGTTCAACCTTGGCCTAAATTGAGTTTGGAGATGGAGATAGAAAGCTTTGCAGACATTAGAATGCTCTATGTTTCTATGGAATATGAAATATTTATATCCCTCACTAAGTTCAAATCCTAGATCAAAGCAGCTTTTTTTTTTGGGGGGGGGGGAGGATAGATCTAATAAGTTCTACCTTCATCAACCTCCCAGTGTACTTCCATTCTGATTTTTGGATCCCTGTCTTGATGGCAAACAGAGTGGGAAAGATTACAAGATAAGAGACCTCTCATGGGAGCTAGGGGACAACACCAAAATGGAGAATTTAGTCAAATGGGAAGCAGTGTACAAAGCTGAGGAAGGGGGTCTATTGATATATCCTGAAGTTCTTGGACCTTTCCATTCCTGATTGGCAGAATTTGGACTAGTTCTCCATCTGGCACCTTTCCCTGTTCTTCGTTCTTCAAAACTATCTCTTCCACCAGCTCCTTGGTGCTTTTCCCTGTCAAAGATATCTAGTGTGGACCTGTCCCACCTAAAATCAGGGCTTTTTGCTAGGAAGTTGTTCATTTAAAAGCTTCCCTTTTTATATTGAGGATAAAAATTGGGTAGAGAGGAGGTCCAGAATATCTATAGGTAGGGGTATCAATTGGACTGGATTTGGTCCTACCTGATCCAGTCCAATGTGAGTCCATTACAAATGGACCAGGTCGAATCCAATCGAATGAATATTTTGGATCATTTTGGACCACCCAATCTGTTCAAATTTGTTTTAATTTAGATTAATTCTAACCAAAACCTGGTCCATTGACACCTATATTCTTATCTTCTATCAATGGAGTAGATATTGGC